CTCTATAGATCTCTAGGGTCCCACTGTTACTGATTCAAAGTTCATGCACCCAATGCATCAAAAAAGGTCAATATTCAAAACATCAGAGATTGGAGGAAGAAAGGTTTACTGATCAAGAAGGCGCCAGCTGGAAAAGACGGGGGCCTTAAAGCTCCCACAAAGCCATCTCAGGAGAGCCCAGAATTCAGGCTTATTTCGTGTCAAGGGAAGGGAGAACAGGCCAGAGGTGTTGACACCTGGGCTCCAACAGGGACCCAAGGAAGAGCACAGAACACTCTGATTCTTTTTGTCCCCTAGTTCTCCAGCGACCTCTGCTGGTCTCATTAGGTCTTGAGGCTCCCACAAACCTTTGCCAAAAGTTCAAGCTTTCAGCAGAATTTCTCTAATAATTAGCATACCTAGAGCATGACCTGAAGGCCATGGGAGAAATGCAGGCTAGAAATAAGATAGAATCAGAGAGAGCTTTTCATTCTGTTACACCACCTGCCCAGGGAGGCCCCCTCACTGGGCAAAGCCTCCCTGCAGAATAACATAATCCCACCGAGAAGGGAGTAGAGCCTTAAGCCCCCTGAGCACAGGCAGGTGCTGCCAGAGGGCAGGGTGTGTGGTAGGATTGCTCATTCTCTCTGCCTCCTGCAGGTCAAGGGCACATGCCCATGTTGCCGGCTCAATCCCCAGTAGTGGATGTGCAGGAGGCAGCCAATCAATGATTCTCATTCACCATTGATGTTTCTATCTCTCTTTCCCTCTCTCTTCCTCTCTGAAATCAATAAAAATATATTTAGAAATGTAAGCTGGGTGGGAGTGTATTATCACAAACATTCCCTGAGTCTGGGCAGCCCTGTTGGCTGGGTTGTTGTTTCTGTGGAGGGGAGCAGAGTGGACCGCCCCAAATATGCCTTTGGAGATACTGACTGTTTAAGCTGTTCCTTTCAAGAAACAAAAGCCTCAGGAAGAGCCCCGCCCTTCTCCCTAACTGCCTGAAAGGGATTTAGAAGAGGACCTGCTCCAGGAGGGGAGCTCAGCACAGGCATCTGTAGTTTAATAGGAACTGGGTGGGAAGGACAGAGAGGACACTAGCAAGGCCCTCTGATCACATTCTCATTGCTCAAGTTGGCCCAGCAAACATCTGTTTTCCAAGTCCATGTGAATTGCCTTCCTCCTCTTTCAAGTCCCAAACCCCAACTCCCCCTCTGTAGCTCTGGGTGGCACCTGTGCCTCAAATGCCCAGTCTGCCCTGGGGTTTCTCATGACACAATATAAATGTATACTAATAAAAGGGTAATATGCAAATTGGTCATGACACCCTCACAGTCACTACCAGATATTCTAATTAGTCATGAGCAGTATGCAAATTGACCATCACTACACACAAATGGCCACCCCCAGGTGGTCACAAGATGGCCTGCAGGTGAGGGATGTTGGGGGCGACAAGGCCTGCAGGGGAGGGCAGTTGGGGGTGACCTGGTCCAGCAGGGGAGGGCAGTTGGGGGTTGATCGGCCAGCAGGGGAGGGCAATTGAGGGCAACTGGGCGGCAGGGAGGGCAGTTGGGAGCAATCAGGCCAGCAGGGGAACAGTTAGGCGTCGATCAGGCTGGCAGCAAAGTGGTTAGGAGGTGATCAGGCTTGCAGGCAGAAGTGGTTAGGGGCAATCAGGCAGACAGGCAGGTGAGTGGTTGGGAGCCAGCAGTCCTGGATTGTGAGAAGGATGTCCCAGATTGGAGAGGGTGCAGGCTGGGCTGAGGGACACCACCACTAGTGCACGAATTTCGTGCACCGGGCCTCTAGTATGTAATAAAGCTGTCATGTGTAATAAATATGTCATGTGCAATAAAGCTGGCTGTTTGCTCCTGTTAACCTGTCTGGTGTTAAATTGATTATTAGTCTAGGCAGAAGAATTTAGAAAGGTGGAAGGAAAATGTGTTTTTGTATTCCCCACACTGTGCTTTTCCTGGTATTAAGGGGTCCAATGGCATGGGAGCATCTTCAACTTCCTCATCAAAAATCACAACACTCGCCTCTTCACTCTCATCACTTCCCATGAGATTCTATCCCTTCGCTGCCAATCAGACTTTGTCTCAAGTGCTTGGACCTTAACCTGAGCAAAACACAGAAGAAAGGTGGCATAACCGATTTATAGGGAAAACCCACAACTTTCTGTTTGCAGGGCCACGACTAGTGCGAGGTGAGGAAGGCTCTTGCCTTGGGTGCAACATTTAGGGGGCCACGAAAATGTTAGTTATCATCATCCCCATTTTACAGCTCCATGGAAACTGAGGCAGAGGGGACATTGCTTGCCCAGAGTCCCATTGGGCCACAGGGCTGTTCACACACAGCCTTGGCCTCTGACCCGCAGTGCTGGTCCCGAGTTGGCCCTAAAGTTTGGAGGCTAGCACAGCGCAGCTCAAATAAGTCTGCTTCACCCAGGGCTGTGTCCTTGCACCTGGGGTCCTGGTCTGGGAGAGGCTCCTGCTCATGGGATGCACAAGCTCCTTGGTGGCTCTTCAGCACGACCATCCCCATCCTGGTCCTGTGGCTGGTGAGTGGCTTTAAGCAGTCGAGGCAGAAGGATATTCCTCCTTCGACACCCTCCATGGCCCCTAAGGTCCCCTCTGAGACAGCAGCAGGGATGCTATGGGAGCTCCTGCTGGGTCACTACGGAGAGTGACACCAAAGCCAGCCTCTTGGGGGAGACCCTGGCCCTGCCCACTCCCAGTCCACCACTCACCTCTCAGCCTCAGTTTCCCCAGCTGGGGACTGGACCAATGATGCTCTGCCTCTCAGGTCACAGTCCGCAGGAACAGGAGGCTGGCATGCCCTAGGCTTCTTGTCACTGCAGCTGTCACCTTCAGGAACACTGGAGAAGGGCAGGGACATACGATGGGGTGTCCTCTCCCACAGGAGCTCATGGGCCAGCACCCAGCCCAGAAGGGCCAAGCCCATAATTCTCATTCTGGGAGGGAAAATGAAAGCTAAACTGTCCTCTTCCTGCAGATGCCCCATTTTGGAACTTCTCATTGGTTGGCCTAGATCACATGCTAATCAGGGGGCGGTTCCAGCACGTAGAAAGTTCTAGCTTCCTTTCCTTACTCACACCCAGACTCCCCTGCATCACTCTCAATGGCACCCACTTCTCACCGCTACTCCCGACTGCCCACGGATGAAAATCCCAACAAGCTGGAGGACCGCAAGCTGCCAGTGTGGGTGTGGATCCTGCTGGGCCTCCTGGTGGTCGGTCTGTTTGTGGCAGCAGTGGTTTTGGCTGCCAAGGCCAATAGGCCAGCTTGCAAGGATTGCCTCCCGGCTGAGCAGGAGTGTAGAAACATCACCCACCTCCTGGAGCAGGAGCTGACCCAGGCCCAGGAAGTCTTGCGGAGGACTGAGGCTCAAGCTGCCACTTGCAAACAGACTGTGGTAAGTCACTGCCCCTCCTAGAGAGGGCCCTGTGCTTGGGAGGACTCTCAGGGTCTGGGTGCTTGGGGACCCCCAGGGTCGAGGTGGAGATGGAGATAGACCTTGAAACGGCCCCTAGGCCCCTGCATGGGGAGCCTGAATTTCCCCACCAGGGTTTTGGGGAGCTCTAAACTCCCTCTGGGGTGCCAGTGTGGGACCCCAGAGCACCCACTAAGGGACCTCAGTATTCCCAGTAGGATGTGGATGAATCTCCAAACCCCAGGACATTGGTCTAGGGCAGTGGTTGGCAAACTCATTAGTCAACAGAGCCAAATATCAACAGTACAACGATTGAAATTTCTTTTGAGAGCCAAATTTTTTAAACTTAAACTATATAGGTAGGTACATTGTTATTAATTAGGGTACTCCTAAGGCTTAGGAAGAGCCACACTCAAGGGGCCAAAGAGCCGCATGTGGCTCATGAACCGCAGTTTGCCGACCATGGGTCTAGGACAGCTGGGAATTCCCCTTGGGCACAGGCTCAGGGAGCAGAAATCCCCTCTGGGGGTTGGGATGGGGACCACACCAGACTCTGAAGAAGGCAGGGGCATTTTTTTTTTTTTTTTTAGTTTTTATGTGTTGATTTTAGGAGAGAGGAAGGGAGAGAGCAAGAGGAACATTGATTTGTTGTTCCACTATTGATGCATTGATGGGTTGATTCTCAGTATGTGCCCTGATCAGGGATTGAACCCACAACCTTGGCATATTGGGATGACAATCTAACCAACTGAGCTACCTGGCCAGGGCAAGGCAGGGGCTCTTGATACTTCTACTGCATCCCTGAGAGGCAGCATTTTAACTGAGGTCTTGATGTGGGGGACCTTGAAATTCCCAGTGGACATCTAACTTGGGTTCAGAAATCCCACAGTGTTCTGGGTTGCAGGGGACGTCTAACTCTTCTTGGACAATAGCCCAGGGGATCTGGACATTTCTCCTAGGCTTTGGGCAAAGAGAGCCTCCAAATTCCTAAAGTGGGGGGGGGGGGAGGGCTTGAAACTCCCATTTAGAGGATCACACCCTGGAGGGTGGGAGGCTGTGGTCATTCTTCAGGGTGGAGACAGGTTCAGAGAGGGTTGGCAGGAATCCTGAAAGGGGTTTGGGCCTGAGCCCCTCTGACTCCAGGGCCTGGAGACAGGGTCAGGGCCCACGGACAGCAGTCAACCCCAACAGGGACAAGAACCCCAGTTTACAACACCCTTACTCTTCCCGGGCATCCCAGGAGACCCTGAAGATTTCCCTGAAAGAGGAGAAGGCTGCGGGCCACAAGCAACAGGAGCTGGTGCAGAAACTTCAAGGTGAGAAAAACACAGGCCCGGTTGCAGTCAGGGAGTTTGCAGGAGCAGGTCAGGTATTGAAGAGGAGGGAGGGGTAGGCCTCAGGATTGGGGTCCGGCTAGAGGGACAGGACCAAATCCAGTGGAAGTAGAAGGGGCGGGCATGCCGGACTTCCAAGGTGCACTCGCTCAAATGGAGGCGGGGTCCTGTCCGGGGGTGGGGCCAGTTGAGGGGCGTGACTACGGTGCTGACACACACTCTGTCCCTCTTTAGAGGAGATCAAGACATTGAATCAGTCGCTGCGAGACAAATCCGCAGAGCTGGAGGAGAAATCCGCGGATGTAAAGAAATCCCGGGATCTGGAGAAGAAATCCGCTGATCTGGAGAAGAAATCCGCGGATCTGAAGAAGAAATCCGGGGATCTGGAGAAGAAATCCGCGGATCTGGAGAAGAAATCCGCGGATCTGGAGAAGAAATCCGCGGATCTGAAGAAGAAATCCGCGGATCTAGAGAAGAAATCCGCGGATCTGAAGAAGAAATCCGCGGATCTAGAGAAGAAATCCGAGGATCTGGAGAAGAAATCCGCGGATCTGAAGAAGAAATCCGCGGATCTAGAGAAGAAATCCGCGGATCTGGAGAAGAAATCCGGGGATCTGAAGAAGAAATCCGGGGATCTGGAGAAGAAATCCGCGGATCTGAAGAAGAAATCCGGGGATCTGGAGAAGAAATCCGCGGAGCTGGAGCAACTAAGGTCAGGACACCCACCCACCCCCGGCCACACCCCTTCCTCCTTCCAACCCCAAGACCTAGGATCCCCTTTGGCTCTGATAATTCCCATTGCCCTGGGGACAGAGTTGGAGCCCAGCCTTGTCCCTCCAGTCACCCAACTCTGGGTGGCAACCAGTCACTGTCCTGCCCAGTCACTTGGTGGGGAAGGAGAAGAGATTTTGAGGGGCTTCGAGCCCAGCACCAGTGCAGCCAGACCTGGCAGCCTCCTGAGGTGTCCCCGTCTCCTCCTCAGAAAAGAGAATGAGGACTTGGTCTCTGCCAAATTCTGGATCAGCGTGCTTCTCTATGTGACCGCCCTGCTCCTGTTCCTGAGCCTCCTGGCTCTGCTGGTCTTTTACCTCAGAAAGCCTGCCGGTGAGGAGGGGGCTGGAGAGGGATGGGAGGAGTTAGGGACAGTCAGGGTCTGGGGTGGTGGCCTGCCTGCGGGAAGGGGCTGGGCGCTGGAGAGAGAGGAATCCCAGTGAGGAGCTGTGGGGCAGAAACAGAACAGTGGGGACCAGCTATGTTATCCTATTAACCCTGTCTGTTGACTGACTGTTCCCTTCCAATTAGGCACATTCTAACCTGGCTGAGAGCTGTTTGCCCAGAGACAAGGGGATTAACCTCTGAATGCAGTTCATGCTCCTTTTCCGAGAGTTTCCTGTCATCTTGGAAAGATAACCTGGTCCCACAGATGCTCTCTCCCATTCGGCCGGCAATACATCCTAATAAACTTTCATAGGATTCAACCCTGTGTCTGCTTAATAATTGACTCAAGGAGTGACAGGCACCCAGGCCCATCTATGTCGGGTTCAGAGGGATGGGTCCAGACAGGAGTGGGTGAGGCTCATGGAGGGGTTGGGGCAAGTTCTGCCTGACTCAGCCTTGTTGTCTCTTAGGCCACCATCTGGACTCCCCTGTTTCCCTCTGGGTTTCCCTGACCTGGCAGTTCTGAGGGGCACATGGCTGTGGGGAGGGGTCGGTGAGGGGGGGCCGGGGGCCAGGTGGCAGGGGGCGGTTCATGGGGGAGCCATAGAGGTGGGGAAGCATCAAAGTTGGCCAAAAGCTGCACCCACCCACCCCCACTTCCAAGCTGGGCAGGTGATGAAGTGGGAGGGGGCATCTGTTCTTTGCTGTCATGGTTTCTGGAAGGTAACTTCTGGGGTCTTTGGGTTCCACAAAATAAGCATCCCCTTTGGGGGAAGGAACTTACTCTGTAGTTCCTGGAGGATCACTGTGTCAGTCCCACGCATCTGGGACCCCTTGATGGCTACACCAGCCTCCTTGCTCCAAAATGTTCCCAGAAGCCCACAGGGTTTGGTCAGGTACACCCCACTGCCTACCCAGGCCTCTTTTCTGATGGATTCACCCTAAAGGACTGTCCACCCTTCCCCACCCCCATCGGTGCTCACTCAGTGCTCAGCATTCTAGTCTTGTCTCCTCCCCCAGCTCCTGAGGCTCTTGGTCCCCATCCCTTTCCATGGAAACGGAGGTTGTGAGGAGGGCATCTTGTCCAGTTCCCCACCCCCTCCCATGGAAAGTGCAGGGCTGGCCCGGTGGGTGTGGCTCAGTTGGTTGTGCATCTTCCCAAGCACCAAAAGGCTGCCAGTTCAATTCCTGGTCAAGGCACAGGCCCGGGTTGCAGGATCCTTCCAGGGTAGGTGGCATGCAGGATTCAGCCAATCCATGTTTTGCTCTCACATAGATGTTTCTCTGTCTTTCTCTCTCCCTTCTGCTCTTCCTTCCTCTCTCTCTAAAAACCAGTTAAGCCCTGACTGGGTAGCTCAGTTGCCAAGGTCACGGTTCAATCCTCAGTAAGGGCACAGACAAGGATCAATCAGTGAGAGCATGAGTAAGTGAGACAACAAAATAATGTTTCCCTCCCCCCCCCTCTCTAAAATCAATCAATCAATAAAAAGAAAAATCGCCGTTACTGGTTTCGCTCAGTGGATAGAGCGTCGGCCTGCAGACTGAAAGGTCCCAGGTTCGATTCCGGTCAAGGACATGTACGTGGGTTGTAGGCACATCCCCAGTGGGAGGTGTGCAGGAGGCAGCTGATCGATGTTTCTCTCTCATCGATGTTTGTAACTATCTCTCTCCCTTCCTCTCTGTAAAAAATCAATAAATATATATTTTTAACAAAAAAGAAAGAAAAATCAATTAAATACATACAGGCAGAAAGTGCGGGGCTGGGAATCACACCTGGATCTGCAGACACACCCAGGCCAGGCATTTGTCACAATGTACCTCCCTCTTCCATCCCCCAAATTCTTATTCATCCTGCAGAGCCCCACCTCCAGAGAGTCTGCTTCTCCAAAATGGAGGGCCACCATCCTGAGAGACCCTTCACCCACTCTCCTGGATCCTCACATGTCCCCTAATTCCTTCCTCTCTCTTATCTTACTTCCTCCAACTTCTCCTGGAATCCCGACTATTGTCCATGAAACTTCCTGTGCATGGCACTGGGGTCAGGACCCCTGTGTCTGCCCAAATTCTTCATTGCCCTCAGGTCCCGCAGTCCCCAGATGAGGTGGTCAACCACCCAGGGACCCCCAAACACATCCCTGCCACAGGCTCCCCTGGCCCTTCTGTCCCCTCCCTTCCCCTGCTCACAACTCCCCACCCTCCCAGACCATTTCTCTGTGCAGGGACCTTGTCAATTTCCTTCCTGCCTCACTCTGACATTCTAGGGCAGGATTTCTCAACCTCTGCACTGTTGACATTTGAGCTGTAGTGCCCTCCCTGGTGGGGGCTGCCCTGAATGGTTAGGAAGTCATGGTATCCCTGGCCTCCACCCACCAGGTGCCAGACCCTCCTACCCCCAGGTTGGGACAGGAACTGCCCTCAGATATTATCAAGTGTCCCCTGGGAGTCAGAATCATATGCTGTGAGAACCTCTGCTGGAGAGGGCCAGGCTGGGCGCCCCTCCCCCTTCTGTGTCCCCAGCCTGCAGGAGGGCTCAGTGGGAGCCCCCGAGACCCCTTTGCTATGACTGAGTCATTTCACTCCCCACCAACCTCATGTAGCAAATGAGGAAACAGGTCAGAGAAGTCTCTGCACTTGCTCAGGGCTCTCAGCTGCTCAGGCGATTGGACCCTTGACTTCAGCATGTTCCCTTGATTTCCAGGAAGAAAACCCTTCCATGGGGCCACATGACCTCATCACTTCGCCACCTCCCCTCCTCCACTCCCACTCCCAGCTGGGGCTACCAGAATGTTCCAAAACAGTGTGGCTGTCCCAAAGCCTAACAAGATGAATGTGACCTGTTCAATGTCTCCCTCCCCGCACCCCCCGAACTCCGACACAATGGCCCAATTACTAACTTTTCTCCTTCCTAAAAATGCCCACTTCCCCTCCTGGCTGTGGCCAACTGAGCCAGGGGTTGAGAAGTCAGGACTCATGTCCTACAGGTCTGTAGGGGTTCCAAGTCCCACAGGAATCTGGCAGTGACCAGCGGCTGCTGTGTGTTCCTGGCCTGAGGCTTGGTCTCTCTGGGCTCTGATTTCTTCATGTGGAATAAAAGGGAGGGGGGTCCAGGGCTAGGGAGTCAGGACACTGAGATTCTAGTTCACAGTGTTTTCTCAGCTCACATTTCCTGCCCAACCACTGTGTGCCAGGCCCCAGGCTGGGACAGTGGGAACCAGGCAGATGTGAGCTTTGCTTTTTAGGGGCTCATGCACTCTGATGGGGGAGGCAGCTGGAAACCAGTCAAACACCACATTAAAGTACAGCAGAGCTGAGAGATCATCCAAAGGAGCCTGAGGCAGTTGGTGAGGGGAGGGGAGGGTTTTGAGGGAGAACATACACCAATGAATGAAGGAGGAGGGATAGAGGTCACAGAGGGAGATAAGGGCCCTCTGGCACAGGGAATAGCCAATGCAAAGGCCCTGGGGTAGGAAGGTGCTTTCCAGAAGAGCATTGAGGAGGGCTGGAGTGTGCCCAGGAGAAGGAAAGGACATCAAAGGTGCACCACAGGAAGGAGAAGGAGAAGGGGAAGAGGGTGATGGATGAGGAAGGGGGAAAGAGTAAAGGGTGAGGCAAAGTGGGAGGCAAAGAAAGAGGGGGAGTAGGGAGGAGGAGGAAGAGGAGATAAAAATGGAGGAAGAGCCCTAGCTGATTTGGCTCAGTGGACAGAGCGTCAGCCTGGGGACTGAAGGGTCCTGGCGTTGATTCCAGTCAAAGGCACAGGCCGGGCTGTGGGCTTGATCTCCAGTGTGGAATGTGCAGGAGGCAGGTGATCAATGATTCTCTCTCATCAATGATGTTTATCTCTCTCCCTCTCCCTCTTCCCTCCTCTCTGAAATCAATAAAAAAAAAAAAAAAAAAAAAAAAAAAAAAACATTTTTTTAAAATGGAGGAAGACCTGACCTAGCCAGTTTGGATAGAGCGTAAGCTGGTGAACTGAAGGGTCCTGGGTTCAATTTCAGTCAAGGGCACATGCCCGAGTTGAGTGCTCCATCCCCAGTGGGGGGGGGGGGGGGGGAAGAGGAGGGGTGCTCTCATCATTGATGCTTCTATCTTACTCTCCCTCTTTCTTCCTCTTTGAAATCAATAAAAATAATTTTTAACCAATGGGAAAATATCCTCAACTGAGGATTAACAGAAAGAAAAAAAGAAAAATGGAGGAAGGCCAGGAGGATGTGAAGGCTGGAGGGTGGAGGAGATTGGATTCTGAGAGGGACTTTGTGAACTGGCCCGGATCTGATTCACGTTGTAAGGTCGCCCCCTGGCGACCCAGTGGAGAATAAGCAGGGTGATGTGGCCGGTCCACCCTGGCATCTATCTTCCCTCTGGCCCTCAGAGTTGGTCAAAGCAAGTACGACAGCCTGACCCAGGCCAACTTCAGTCAGTCGAGTAGCCTTTAGTCTTACAGCCTCAGTTTCTCCATGAACAGAATGGGGACAATATGCCCCTGGCACATTGCCAAGGAGCCCCTGTGCCTGGATGTGCCCAAGTGATTGTCACTAAGCCCTAAGGACCTACTGCCATCCCCACTTCACAGAGGGGCAAACTGAAGCTCAGAGCAGAGCACTCAGAGGCAGAGGCAGGACTGGAAAATGCAGGACCCCAGGCCTGGTCTGGCTCCTGGTGAGGACCCAACCCCTCCCAAAGGATTTAGGAAACACGCCCTGGCTGGGCGGACCCGTGGGTGTCCCTAGCGTCCTAAGGTGCCAATTAAATGCTCGTGGCCGTCTTCAGGCCAGAGCTGTGGACAGCAGCATGGCCGAGCCTGGGCCGGAGCCGGGGTACGCTTGGCGAGTGCTCGCCCTGTGCGGGGCTGCTGTGTTCCTGGCGGCGGCTGCAGCCGGGGCAGCTCTCCTGGCCTGGAATCTGGCTGCCGCCACCTCCAGGGCCTCTCACTGCCCAGACCTGGAGCTGGGAGTCAACGCCACAGTGCCCCCCGGGGACCCCACGCTGGAGGTCCAGGAGCTGCAGCGACAGCTGGCAGAGGCTGCCCAACGCGAGGAGGCTCTGGCCAGGCAGCTGGACCAGGCCAAGGGCTTCCATCGGGAGCTGGAGGAGGCTCTAAGGGCCTGTGAGGGCCGCCAGGTAGGTGGGCAGTGTTGGGGGCTGGGGCATCCAGAATGTGGGCAGGAAGAGGGTCTGCGCAGGGGGGGGGGGGGGAGCGCGCGCGCTCGCGCGTGCACACACACACACACACACAGATGCCCCCTTGTGCCTTGGTTTCCTCAATTCTTTTGTTGTTGTTAATCCTCACCCGAGGATCTTTTTCCATTGATTTTTAGGGAGTGGAAGAGAGAGGGAAAGACAGAGAGAAACACCCATGTGAGAGAAACACATCGATTGGTTGCCTCCTGCAAGTGCCGGGGAGGAGCCTGCAACCCTTGACCGGAATCGAACCCGGGACCCTTTGGTCTGCAGGCCGATCCCTCTACCCACTGAACCAAACCGGCTAGGGCAGTTTCCCCAATTCTTTTTTTTAAAAATTTTTTACTGATTTTTAAAGAGAGAGGAAGGGAGAGAGAAACATTGTGTGAGAGCCCAACATCGCTGTCTCCTGCATGCCCCCTGTCAGAGATTGAGCCCCCAGGCTGGGCATGTGCCCTGACCAGAAATCAAACCAGCAACCCCTCGGTGCACAGGAGGACGCCCACCCCACTGAGCCACACTGGCCAAAGCATTTCCCCAATTCTTCCATGAGAAGGAGAACAGCACCATAATCCCACCATGTCAGTCACCTTTATTACACCTCTGATCCAGAAGGCCCCACTGTCCTCTGCTACTTGCCAGAGAAACAGCAGTGGATAGAGAAGCCCCAGAGCCCTGAGCCCACCTGGGGACGACCTCCTTTATCCTTTCCCCCAAGTGCCCACTCAACAGCCCCTTTCCCCCCGAGCCAGTGTCCCAGCCCTATTTTGGGAAAAGGACATTCATGTCACCTGTAATTAGGAGGCTAAAGTTAGCTTCTTGGAGGAGGTACCAGCCAGGTCCTCCCTTTTTCTCTGGCCGCCTCCTTCACACTCTCTTAACCTTTCCCAACCCTGGGCCTCACAAGAACCATGCCCATCCTCAAAGTCCCAACGATTCATATTTATTAACTACTGTGTGCTTCTGTGTACCGGGCCCAGCAGAGGTTGGAAAGTGTGTGAATTTTAAAATTCAAAACAGACCCTTTACCCCTTCCTGCCTACCTACTAGTAAGGGAAGGGTGTGGAAGAGCCAAGTTTAAGAGCAGCCTGCCCTTGGTTCAAATTCTGACTTTGCCTCCCAATGGAAGATGCTCTAAGGCAGTGATTCTCAACCTTCCTAATGCCACGACTCTGTAATGCAGTTCCTCATGTTGTGGTGATCCCCAACCATAAAATTATTTTCGTTGCTACTTCATAACTGTAATTTTGCTACTGTTATGAATCGTGATGTAAATATCTGATATGCAGGATGTATTTTCATTGTTGAAAATATTTACAAATTGAACATAATTAAAGCATAGTGATTAATCACAAAAACAATAATTATATATGTGTTTTCCGATGGTCTTAGGCAACCCCTGTGAAAGGGTCATTCGACCCCCAAAGGGGTCGCGACCCACAAGTTGAGAACCGCTGCTCTAAGGCCAGGCTAGTTGCTTTGCAGAATGTCTGAGAGGTGACAAACTACCCACAAATTCAATCACTGCCAACAACCAAATGGGCTTGTGTTGGTTTTAAACCCCAGTTGGCAAGTCTAGATGTAGCTGGGATTGGAACCACAGTCTGACTGCAGAGCCAAACCATTTCCACATCCCATGGCTTGGGGGGCGGTGGACCTAGGAGGAGACCTCCCTGCAGGCAGGCAGCTGTCACCACGCGGTATTCCAGACTTCAGGACCCCAAAGGACATTCCAACAACGCTCAGGGAACATCAGAGCCATCTCAGCCTCCCCTAGGAAGAGCAGGGCCATTCACTCCTTCTGCCCTCCCAGGATTCCCCCCTCACGTCCCCTCCACTCTGCAGAGCCGGCTTCAGACCCAACTGAAGACACTGAAGACTGAGATGGACGAGGCCAAGGCCCAGGGGACTCAGATGGGGGCCGAAAACGGGGCGCTGACAGGTGTGTTGGGGCGAACGGGTGCTGAGCGGGGCTAGAGGTGGGAGGAGCCTAGTTTCCTAGTTACGCAAACGACAAGCACGGGTGGAAACGTAATGCAAACAACATGCCAAGGAACGCGAGAACTTATGAAAGGAATGTACACGACATGCAACGATCACAAATACGCTTATGCAACAAAACATGTCAACGACTTCCAAAAGCGCGCATAGATATGAAAACTTCATGTGGCACGTGAAGGCCATGTAAACGGCACACGAACATAACTCATTCATCCAAAGTACGCAAACAATAATAGGCAGACGATATACTTCTGCCGCCGGCACGCGCAGGGTCGGGAGCCTTGGACTCC